TATAAGTGATTTCCAACAGACCGACAAATAGCAAAGCTCCAATAAAACAATTGCAAGGCGAACTCGAAAGCTGTAAAAAAAAAACAGTTTTAGTGAATACTGATGTATAGGGTTGTACGTCGTTCTCAACATTATAAATTCCTATAAATCAATTTTTAAGCTAACAGTAAAAATGTTCTAAAGAAATATATGACATGTAAATAATAACACAAACAACATTTTCTTTGGATGCATCTTCAAATTATTAGTTAAATCCAAGTTAAAAATAAAACTCCGAAGAAAACAAAATAAAAAATCTATATAAAAAAAAAGGTTGCCCATTAAAGAGAGAACATGTTAAGACGAACGTAATCATTAACAAAATAACATGTTAATCTGCTCACGAAACCCTCGAACATGTTCACCATGCTACATGACGTAGGACTATACACATGATCTTTTGAGATAATAAAAAAATTGCGTATTTCAATTCCCTAATAAACGGTGTTTCGGTTGTTAGTGTTTTTTTAGGGGAAAATGTGTTTTTTTTCCTCGTCACTTCCAAAATGGTTTTTCAAAATTACCTTTTTCTTGAACTTATTTTACTTCACGTAGAATCTTGCTCTATGGGAGACCCAAATACTGTAATTTCATAATCTTCAATAAATTTCGTTCAAACCCAACATTTTTTTTTTCTGGCCTTTTCACGAATCCTATGTTTGGTTTCCCTTCGACGTTTCCCAACCTTGAAAAATTTTCTTCCCATTTGGACGAATTTCCATTAACTTCCGCAATTTATGTTCCTCCTGTGTCTTTTGGATGTGCCAGGTTCCCGGTGGGTCTATCGAATTTGGGGCAAGTAGTTTCTTCCATTCTTTTGGGATAATCTTGATGAAGCTTGCCGGTTTCTCTTCCATCTGCCTCATTTGTCCCAGACTCTCCTTCACCTCTTCTATTGTCCGCCAATCCTCTGAGAAGGCATTCCAAATATCTCTAATTCTCAGCACCCCTCGCTCAATCTACTTCCTTCCTACACTTTGGGGTTCTGCACCCAGCCACTGATCGTTCTCTCCTCTTATCTTTGGGTTTTCGAAGATTGGTTGTGCGAGGACTTCTCCATTTGTCACTGGCTCCACCCATATATCTGGCCGCAGTTTCCTCCAGCCTGAATTAGTACAGCCCACATCGGTGACTTTACTTTCCTTCCTCGGTAAGAGTAAAGGAAGACACAGGTCCATACATCTCCCGTCCTCATCAGGTTTCATTTGTCTGCTAGGATCTTCTCTACTAAGTGCACCCAGTGGGGGACATGTTTTTCTAAGCAGGCTCTCACGATCCATTTCACCAACATTGCCTCATTTTGCTTTGCCGGATCTTGCATTCCTAGCCCACCTTCTCTCCTTGGGAGACACAACATCTCCCACGTCACTTTAAAGATAAAGTTCTCTTGTTCTTTTGCAAACGGCTTCCAGATGAACCTCTCTACCTTCCTCCTTATCTGTTCGTACGTGGCGTCGCCAACCTTTCTTATTGCACCAACAAACCACAACAGGGCAAACAATGCTCCATTTAGGACCAACGCTTTGTCGAAGATTAAGAGGTGTCGTGCCTTCTCCCATGTTATGAATCGATGCAAAGATTTTTTGAGCAGGATGCCATCTTGAGCAACCGAGCAGTATCAACGATATTTGTACCCCCAGGAACCTCTCTGGCTTGTCCTGTTCGATCCGTTTCATTCCCCACTCTATTTCCAACTTGAATGTCTCCGGGAGTAGATAGATCGACTTATGCCAGTTGATGGTGGCTTCCGAAAGCAGTGAGAATTCGTGCAGGTAGTCTTTCAGTGCGGTTAGTGATTCTACCGAGTTCTACGAGACGATGAATAGGTCATCCGCCAGGGCCTTCACTTTGTAAGTTGTCGGACCTGTTGGCATACCTCTAATTTGTGGATGTTCTAATGTTGTTCAAAACCACTTCGAACTGAACTACAAACAAGAGGGGAGCCAACGGGCATCCCTGTCGTAGGGATCTTGTCACGTTGAACTCATCCGAGAGCCGTCCATTGATTATAACCGTGACTGCCGCTGTTGAGGGGCCTCTGGTCTTGGTTTGGCCTGACTTGGTCATGGACCCAACGACCCCGAGTACTGTGGCTGTGCCACCGACGCTTCTTGTCTTCCTTCTTGCCCTCCTTGAGAGCCCCCCTACCGAGATTGTCGGTTCCTTTGACACTGACTTTCTTTGTGAAAGAAGGCTCTGCACCTTCTACATCTTGGAGTGTCGGAGGATGCCAAGTTCACCGTCAACGTATCTCCCTCAAACGTCACAACTGATATCTTGTCTTTCATATTCGGCCTTGCCGCCGGGTCCAGGTTGAATTTGAGGTTGATGAGGGCTGGCTTATGTCTGTCCTGTTCAGCTGGGTGTGTATGGAAGACCGTCCCAATCACCTTCGCCGCTTGGGCTTCCAGATAGAACATTGCTAGATACATCTAGCGGTACTTGTACTGCTATTACCCAGAAGTTCGCCTCTTCTTCCTGCCGCCTCTGTTCCTGTAGTTGAGCTCTCGTCAGCCAAGGCTTAAACTCCATCACGTACCTGGTAGGTCCGAGTGTTACCTCGTCCCTTCCCTTAGTCAGCATCAATTGCCTTACTGTCATGCTTTTCGCCACGTATGAGACAACGTTTTGACCCTCCACCTTTATCCTCCCTCTTCGGAACGTGCTTGTGTCGAAGTCTCCATTCTGCGTGCGTACGTCCTTGTATGCCCTTACGATATCATCCTTTGTCTTCTTCGGCAAAAACCTTGCTGCCTCTCGAAAAATCACCGTTACTGTGTGATCTTTTAGCCATTCCACTTTCGTCCTGTCTATCCGGTTGTTGACCTTGAAGGTGACTTATCTCCCGTTGGCCGTCATTTCACCAGGGTCGATGGAGGTTGGTAGTATCCCTTCATCATAACACAGTCTTGCCAGTTCTCGTACTCTGTCTTCGTCTCCGTCTCCGTCCATTGGTTGCTCCGGAGCCGCGGGGGGGGATTGTGGCCCGCCCCCAATTTCCTCCATGTCCGCCATCCTCACGGTGACCCTTGCTCTCCTCCACGTGTCAGCTTTATTCCTTACTACCCTACTCGTTCCTTTCAACCCTATTTACTTCCTACTCCTTCCTTATCCTGCTTGGTAACTCTTCTCTTTCCTAGCTCCCACTTCTGCATGTCTACCGTACTTCCTACGTCGGGTCAGGATACCGAGTGGCTGCGAGCAATTCCTTCATGGCCCCTACGAGCGCCATGATCGGGTGACGAAGCATGCGATGGCGGACCTGCCCTCTACCAGGTGGCTATCTCCGCGGTAGTTCCCTGCGTCAGCCCACGTCTCCCGTTACTGGCCGACCGCGCCCGGTCCGAGCGCTTGAATTAGCGCCAGCGGAGGCGCGACGGTCTGAGGGCCCCAAATTTCCAAAGAAATTGATCGTCATTTCCAATCGGCCCCGCCGGTGTTCTCTTCTCCCCCGCCGCCCCCGGCCTCCCGCCCTGTTCCCCTTCGACAAAATCTTTTTACTTTCCTGAAGAAGAAATATCGCGGCGAGTAAGTGCAACCACGCCTTCAGTTCGACACGATTCTCTCTTTTTTCTCACTCACTCTATTGTGGCGGCTGGCGAGTAGGCCCTACGGGATGCAGGTGCCAGTGGAGCCAGTGGAGGAGGTTTTCCATCTGCATAGCACTAACGCAGCACACAAGCGCGCGTTTGAGACGAGGATGACTGCAGATGGGAAACTGCTCTCCCAATGGACGCAAAGAGAGGAGGGGGGCGGGGCGCAGAGTTTACCGCAAATTCCCYCCCCCCCCCCCGCCAAAGAAAAAAAGAAAAACAGAAAAAAGAAAAAAAAGAGTTTACGGGAAATTGCTGCCCTGAGCCCGGATACGTTCTTCCTCGGGTTGCTGCGCGCATCGAACTCTTATATCTCTGATACACAGAAGCGTGAAAATTTCTGGAGGGTGTTGGCTGAGTGGGAGATGAATAACATCTCAGCTGGGAGGGATAGGCGGGCTGGGCGAATCTTGCAGAGCGTTGACGGCCCCGATGGGCCCATAGTGAAACGTGAGAATCCTCCACACTTCAGTACTGCGAATCTAGAAGCTCAGGCTACTATTCTTCGGGGTTATGCCGATTTCCTAAAGAGGGATTTCTTTGATGTGGCGTTCTTTGGGTTACAGATTGCACAGGAGCATGGCGTTGATGTAGGCACCACTCTCCCCGCCCACATTGCGGAAGCGATTGATCTGCGCGCGGCGCAGGGGCTTTCAACGCCTCCCCCAGCCTTTGCGGGCCCTACTGGGGCTGGAATGCAGGTGCACATGCCTTCTCTCAATCAGTGTGGTCCTTCGGGACATCCATTCCATTAAAATTGGAAGGA